CCCCAAAACCCCAAAACCCCAAAACCCCTTTCAATACTCAATTATAGAATTTTGGCAAAAAGTTTTTACAAATATGGGAGCCGGGTCTTTGTTGCTTAAGATCTCTCCCACACTATATTTCTTTCTTGTAAATTGAGTTTCATTTCTGCTCACTAGGATAATTCAGATACTTCTAAGCAATCTTTAGCCCATTTCGAGAGAATTGTTGTCGATAGTTTAGAATTGAAACAGCCCTGGTAGAAAATTTGGGAAATGCAGACAAATTTTTGTTAAGAAAATGTGGCTGGCCTATTCAAAATTTTTTACATTCTTGGAAAATCCTGAACTTATTCTTCAAATTTAGCAGACTTTATCGGAAGTAGCTCAAGATTATTTGTAAACATCTAGGGAGGTATTTTGAAGGAGTTTCTTTTGGTATTTAGTTTGCTTGCCAAAGTAGTATTTTAATTTCGATACTTTCATCTTTAATAGTTATATTTCGTTTCCAATATTATTTATTTGAGTAAATTTTCTCACTTGGAATTTCTAAAAGATACTAAATTTTTAAGGGCAAAATAACACTGTGTTCTCATTTCTGAGTAAAATATGACTTATTCGCACCTCAAATTCTGGTCCGATTATAATTTTGGTTCAAGATTTTATATCGTTTGGGATTTTCTTTACAAAATTCAGTTAAATCTAACCACTTTGTTCTTTCTATTTGTTAGTAAGAACTTATAGGTTCTAGAATTAGGCAATATAGTACCAATATTTTTGAGATTTTTTCTTGCTTTGGTCTTCATCGCCAACATCAAGATATCTAGATTCAATATTTTCAACCTTTTGTTCCTCGATAGTATCTTCCAATCTTTAAGCTAGCTGACTTACTTGTTTTTTCATCACTATCTTCTCTAAATAATTGGTTAGTTCACAAAACGTGAGCAATTTTGAAGAGATTATTAAAAATGTGGAAAACTTACAGATCAGGAGCAACATTATCTGGTCTTCTTATGTTCCTAGCTTTCATGATCTCTACCATTACATTCTGCTTGAAGCCCGATTTGGATCTGATAGTTTGCATACTTCAGCAGTCAGAATTTATTTAGATTCCTAAATATTGTTACTGGTCGATTTAGGCAATGTTCTCAGATTGTGAAAAAAGCTTTAGAACATCTGTAGAAAGAATTTTGATTATCCACTTACATCAATAATATTACTCAGTTTTTCTTGAAACATTTTCTTTAAGACATACTTCATTCATGGTGCCGGGTGCTATGCATGAATAAACAAGAATTTGGCTCAAATAAAGCAATGTTGAGAGAATTTTTATTTTAAAACTAACTTACTTCCCCCTCAACTGAATCTCAAATCATTCATATTTCAAATAAATTTCATATTTATTTATTTATAAATTTGCCTTTGCAAATCTTGAACCTCCTCTCTTGGGTCAACAATAATAGACATTTGTTCATCTTCGTTAATGCTTAAATCTAAATAATCCCCCATTTTCCATGTTTAAAAATATTGAGTAAATCGTAGAAATCTCAGGATTTCACTAGGATTAATGAAACAGGGTTTAAAATGTTTGGTTTCCTCTCTACTTGTTATCCCTCTTAACTTCATCTGGCTATCAGGCTTAAGAATTCTTGCTAATATAAAACCTTAGCCGTATTAGACTTGAGCTTTATTCTCTTATAACTTTGTATTAAATCTGAATGTGTTGATATTCAAGAGAATCTCTGGATTAAGCAGTTTTGGGTTCCAACACTTATTTAGCTTCATCTTCTAAGAGAAAATTAGGTTAATGTTTCGTGAAGTTTATTAATGAATATTTTAATTCACTTTACATAGAAAAGAATTCAAAATTGGGATCAAAATGGGAGATGAAGTCAGACAATATAGAAGGAAATATAGCTCCTTTCTAGAAGTTACAAGAATTATCTGAGGTATCTTCGAAGTCATTGAGATCATATTTGACTTCGCCATTGGGATCTATTCTTCATACATGTTCAAGCGAGTTCTTACAAAGTATCTCAACCAAGCTAGTCATGATGTGGAGCAGATTGAGGGAGTGCTTTAGGAGGGTAACCAAGAAGATTATAAGATAAAAGAACAATCGAGCAGATGAAGGCCAGAAGAAGAATAAGCAGATCAGAAAGGGCGGTTTTGTCTAATATATACATTAACGGTCTGCTGTAATAGTCGGCTTTATTTTCCAATCTTTCTTTGATTTTTAGACTGAAAGAGATCGAATTTAAAGGGCACTGAATAGATGAAGAATCAAAACTAAACCATAGTTCTAATTTAATGATTGCTCAGTATAATTCTTTTCAAGTAAGCTTAATTATAGAACCTTTTAGAATAAAGATATTTGCAAGTAGCAAAGTTGAAATAAAACAAAAAGAGTCTTCAGTTTCCAAACATAAATTCATGTATGAGAAGCTAATGCCATTTGAATCTGAGAAATTTCTTGATTACGATTCATTCAAAAACATTCTTGACTGAGTCCAAATTATCAAAGACATTAAAGTTCTACAACAAAAAGTGGCGTTTCTCATCGAAACGAGTCCAGTCTTGAATGGTCAAGTCACACTCACTCATGCTAAAAAGACACAGAAATAACTCTGAAGCCAGTAGACAGTAATCAGCAACAAGGGTACCCAATATGAACAAGAACTATACAATGGCCACTAAAACTCAGGGGAGAGATCCAAAGAGAAACCGAGTGTTTTCATTCCCAGACTATAAAACCTGTTCTTCCAAATAGCATTCGGAAGCCTCGTCTGTTTAAAAGTCCGAGTAAATTCAAAAGAAAAATCCTAAACTACAGAGCAGAAGATAGCCAAGAAGAAGGACCTAAACCTAGAGAAGACTTAGAAAAATTCAGTATTTATAATCTTGAATAATACTTTCAATTTTTGAATGATGACATGGGGTTTTGGGGTTTTGGGGTTTTGGGGTTTTGGGG